AAACGGCAACCTGTTAGGACAGTTTAGTGGCAAAGCATTCTGTTGCCATCTGTCTTTACAAGGTGTGTTCACATGCACGTATCAGGGCGGGCTGACAGGAAATGCCAGGAGGTACATGCACTGTCTTGCTCACACCTTTGGGGGCACCTCCTTCCTTTGCCTCTAAGCCCTCTTTTGATAGCAACTCACCAGATTGCTTATATCAAACAGAACTTTCCCTGTGCTGTCCCAAGTCTGTTATTTCCCAAAAGTACAGAATCGAAAGTTTCCCCTCATTTTACTATTCTCCAAAACACGTAACAGAAAATTCAACTAGGAAAGCTACAGGAGGTGAATATAATCATTCTATGAGGAAGCATAGTGAGCTACCACTCTACCCTCTAGCTTGCTGATCACAAACCCTGCAGAGACGTGACAAGGTCTGAGTCTCCAATACAGAATGTATTTCAGAGAAAGCCAATCAGTGGAGCCCTGAGATGGACACCATGCCGGAGCAGCTGCAGCCTCAACTCCCACAAAGACTTAAGGCTGAGGGGTATAACGGAGGTATTTCTTGCCAGATGGGAGCTCTTTGGTGAAGACTCCTTTGGGGAAAAGCTGTTTGGCTTCCTCTTCAGGGATGGTGGGAAGGACCATGACGCTGTTGCCTTCCTTCCAGTCAACCGGGGTAGTGACCCGATTCGTTGCTGTCAGCTGGAGAGACTTAATTACTCTGAGAATCTCATCAAAATTCCTGCTGGTGGTAGCAGGGTAGATGATAGACAGCTTCAGTTTCTTGTCAAGCCTGAAAACAATCACCACACAGGCCATCACAGGCATGCCCTTCTCATCCTTCTCTGCTGGATCCAACATGCCCAAAAGGATGGCAAGGTCCCTCTCCTTGTCATTGATGATGGGAAACGGTAACTTTTCTGTGGGTTCATCACCATTGTAAGCATTGATGTCCTTGCTCCAGGCAAGATGGTCCTCAACACTGTCTATTGAAAGAGCAATCAACTTAACATTCCTCTTGGCAAACTCTGGCGCCAGTTTTGCAGCTCTGCCAAGCTCTGTGGTACACACTGGGGTGAAGTCCTGTTGGTGGGAAAAGAGAATGCACCATGAGCCTCCCAGGAAATCGTGGAATCGGATGCAGCCGATGGTGGTATTGGCCTCAAAGTTGAGGGCTTCGTCCCCAAGAAGCAGCCCTCCGGGCATGGCAGCAGTGGTGACGCAGGGAAGCAGGAGGCACAGCCGCAGCACCGAGCAGCCGCTGGGCTTTTGGGAAGCTAGATCAGCCAACTATGTCTTTTTATAGGTGAATTAAGTCCATTGATATTAAGGGATATTAATGACCACTGATTGTTCATCCCTGTTATTTTTGGTGGTAGTGTGTGTGTACTTCTCTTCTTTGGGGTTTACTGCTGTGGCTTTATCTATTGCCTGTTTTCGAGGGTGTATCTGACTTCCTTAGTTTGGAAATTTCCTTTTAATGATTTCTGTAGGCCTGGGTTTGTGGATAAATATTGTTTAAATCTGGCTTTGTTGAACCACCCTTGCATCCCTGGGATGAAGCCTACTTGATCATGGTGGATAATTGTTTTGATGTGTTCTTGGAGTCTGTTTGCCAGTATTTTATTGAGTATTTTTGCATGAATGTTCATGAGGGAGATCATTATGTGGTTTTCTTTCTTTGTTGTATCTTTGTTTGGTTTAGGAATCAGGGTCGTTGTAGCCTCATAGAAGGAGTTTGGTAATGTTCCTTCTGTTTCTATTGTGTGCAACAATTTAAAGAGTATTAGTATTAACTCTTCTTTGAAGATCTGGTAGAATTCTGCACTGAAACCATCTGGTCCTGGGCTTTATTTGGTTGGGAATCTTTTATTGACTGTTTCTATTTCCTTAGGGGTTATTGAACTATTTAAATAGTTTATTTGGTCTTGATTTAACTTAGATGTATGGTACCTATCCAGAAAATTATCCATTTCTTTTATATTTTCCAGTTTGTGGTGTAGAGGTTTTTAGACAAAAAACACATGCCACTTTTGAGAAAGGAGCACTCTTCTACTCCACTATATTTCTAATACAGCCATAACAATGAGCTTGCTCAGAACAGAGGAACAGTGCTTTCAAGGGGATCATACAATTGTACTTCTGAATAAAGCTCTGTTCTTCAGAGAAACACAGGCAACATCTCTTTCAACTCTGTTCACAAAACTGATAAGAACAGTATCTTCTCTTACATCCAGTGCACTGTATTTGGTGGGAACAGACATGAGTGCTATTTCCACTGTGCTTGTCAATGGCAGCCCAATAGTGACTTTGCATACCAGAAAAGAACTCTTTTTTATAAGACAGCATGTGGTTAAACTCTGTTTTTAAAGGGGAATTCAACACCAAGTTCCCTACAAGAAACATACTCTGTTTTTGTTAGAAAGGCGCTCCTGCCTTGCTATGTTTCCAAAGGGACCAGAAGAGTGAGCTTGCTCAGAACAAAAGAACTCTGCCTCTTTGAAACACAGGTGATATCTCTTTCAATCTTCTCTGGAAATGGTGAGAACAGCAGGTTCTCTTTCATCCAATGCACTGTGGTTGCTAGGAACAAACACAAGTTTTATTTGGACTGTGTATGTGAAAAGGAGCCCAACAGTGACTTCGATTACCAGAAAAGAACTGTTGTTCATAGTTGCTGTGGGATGTATTGTATGTTGAATGTATTGCTCTGATTGGTTAATAAACAAAACACTGATTTCCAGTAGCTAGGCAGGAAGTACAGGTGGGACAAGGGCAGAGGAGAATTCTGTGAAGCAGAAGGCTGAGTCAGAGAGACACTGCCAGGTGCTGCCATGACAAGCAAAATGTAAAAGATACTGGTAATCCACAAGCTATGGGGCAAGTATAGATTAATAGAAATTGGTTAATTCAAGATAGAAGAACTAGATAACAATAAGCCTGCCATGGCCATACATTTTGTAAGCAATATAAGTCTCTGTGTGTTTACTTGGGTGTGTCTGAGTGGCTGTGGGATTGGAAGTAAGAGAGATCTGTCCTGACTTTGGGCCAGGCATGAAAACTCTAGCTACACATAGGACAAGAGCCAGCACGTTGTTTAACTCCTTTTATGAAGGGAAATCAACACTGAGTTATCTTGCAAAAGTACAGTCTGTTTTCAAGTAAGAAGTACTCTTTTCTTTACAGTGTAAGCAATGTGACCAGAGCATTGAGCTTGCTCAAAACAAAAGAACTGTGCTTCCTAGAAACACAGGCAATATATCTTTGAACTCTGCTCAGGAAACTGATGAGGTCAGTAGCTTCCCTTACATCTAACACCCAATGTACATTCTGGGATCAGACACGAATTGTATTTCCACTCTCTATGTGAAATCTTACCTAACAGTGATTATGCTTTTGTGAAAAGAACTATAGTTCACAGGATAAGAGACAGCATGTGGTTGAACTCTGATTATCAATGGTAATTTAACACTGAGTTCCCTTAAAAGAAACATACTCTATTTTTGAGAAAGAAGCACTCTTGTCTTTTCCGTGCTTCCAAGGAGACCAGACTAGTGAGCTTGCTCAAAAGAAAGCACTGTGCTTCCTAAAAACCCAGGCAATATCTCTTTAAACTCTGATCATGAGACTCATAAGAACAGTAGCTTCTCTTACATCCAATGCACTGTACTTGCAGGACTCAGACAAGAGTACTATACCCACTATTTATATGAATGGGAACCCAACAGTGACTTTGCTTATGAGGAAAGAACTGTTGTTTGTAGCACAAAAGACAGCATGTGGTTAAACTCTGTTTATGATGGGGAATTCAACACTGAGTTCCCTTACAATAAACAAACTCTGTTTTCAAGAAAGAAGCAGTCTTCCCTTTACTGTGTTTCCAATGCATGCAGAACAGTGATGTTGTTCAGGAAAAATAGAACTGTGCTTCTTAGAAACACAGGCAATATCTCTTTCCACTCTGGTCATCACAATGATAACAACAGTAGCTTCTCTTATAGCCAATGCACTGTAGTTGTTGGGAACAAATGCCAGTATTATTTCAGCAATGTGTGTGAATTGAACCCCAACAGTTGTTATTCCTATGAGAAAAGAATTGTTCTTCACAAGACAAAAGGCAGCATGTGGTTAAACACCATTCAATGCCAACTTCCCTTACAAGTAACACCCTCTATTTTTGAGGAAGAAGCACCCTTCTCTTTGCCATGTTTCCAATTTGACCAGAACAGTGAGCTTGCTCAGAACAAAAGAGCTGTGCTTCCTAGAAACACAGGCATTATCTTTTCAACTCTGTTCAGGAAACTGATAAGAATAGTAGCTTCTCTTACCTCCAACACACTGTATTGGCTGGGGACAGATGTGAGGTTTATTTCTACTATATGTAAGAATGGGAGACCAACAGTGACTTTGCTTATGAGGAAAGAACTTTTGTTCATAGAAGAAGAGACAGCATGTAGTTAAACTCCGTTTTTGAAGGGAATTCAACACTGAGTTCTGTTACCATAAAAACACTCTGTGTTTGAGAAAGAAGCACTCTTCTCTTTACTGTGTTTCCAATGTGAGCAGAACAGTGACCTTGCTCAGGAAAGAAAAGAACTGTGCTTCCTAAAAACATGGGTGATATTTCTTTCAACTATGCTCTGAAAACTTATAAGGTCAGTAGTTTCTCTTACATCCAATGCACTGTATTTGCTAGGTTAAGATTCGAGTAGTATTTCCTCTATGTATATGAATGGAAACACAGCAGTGACTTTGCTCACTAGGAAAGAACTTTTTTTCCATAGGAGTAGAGACAGACTCCATTTACAGAGGCCAATTCAACACCAAGATACCTTACAAGAAATACACTCTGTTTCTGCAAAAGAACTCTTATCTTTACCATGTTTCCAAAGTGACCAGAATAGTTAGCTTTCTCAGAACAAAAGATCCATGCTTCCTACAAAAAACAGGTGTTATCTATTTTACGTCTGTGAAGGAAAAACTGAACAACAGTAGCTTCTATTAATTTCAATGCACTGTACTTACTAGGGAAAAACACTAGTAATATTTTTCTCTATATTTATTAATGGGAGCCTATCAGTGACTTTGTTTACCAGAAAAGAACTGTTTTTCATAGGAAAACAGACAGCATAAGTTTAAATTCTGATCATCAATGGGAATTTAGTACTGAGTTTCCTTACAAGAAACACACTCTGTTTTCAAGAAAGAAGCACTCTTGTCTTTGTCATGTTTCCAATGTGACCAGAACAGTGAGCTTGCTCAGAACAAAGAACTGTGCTCCCTAAAAACACATGTGATATCTCTTTCACCTCTGCTCAGGAAACTGATAAGAACAGTAGCTCTTCTTACATCCAGTGCACTGTACTTGCTGGGAAAAGATTTGAGTTGTATTTCCACACTGTATATGAATGGGAGCCCAACAGTGACTCTGCTTAGCAAAAAAGTACCATTGTTTGTAAGAAAAGAGATAATGTGTGTTCAACTCTGTTTAAAAGGGGAAATTCAACAGAGTTCCCTTTTCAAAAAAACCATTTTGTTTTCGAAAAAGAAACACTCTTCTTTTTACAGTGTGTCCAGTGACAAGAACTCAGAGCTTGCTCAAAGCAAAAGAAAGGTGCTCCTAGAAACACAGGCGATATCTTTTTTACCTCTGCTCAGGAAACTGATAAAGGTAGTAGCTTCTTTTACATTTTAAGCACTATACTCATCGGGAACAGACACAAGTTGCATTTCCAATGTGTATATGAATGGGAGCACAACAATGACGTTCCTTACTACAAAAAAACCTCTTGTTTGCAGGAGAAGAGTCAACATGTGTTTAAACTCTGTTTATTATGGGGAATTCAACTCTGAATATCCTTACAAGAAACACACTATGCTTTTGAGAAAAATGCAGTCTTCTCTTTACTGAGTTTCCAATGTGACCAAAACACTGTGCTTGCTCAGAACAAAATAACTGTGCTTCCTAGAAACACAGGCAATATCTCTTTCAACTCTGCTCAGAAAACTGATAAGAACACTAGCTTATCTTACATCTAACCTAATTTACTTGCTGGGCTCATATGGATGTTGTTTTTCTAATTTACAAATAAATAGGAGTCCAATGGTGACTTTGCTTACCAGAAAGAAACTGTTGTTTGTAATTCAAGAGAAAAGATGTGGTTAGACTCTGTATATGAAGCAGAATTCAACACCAAATTCCCTTA